CCACAGGTAAGTAACACTGGCCTCCGCCAGTCTCTCTCCCACTCTACGATCTACCACCTACCAGCGCCCAGCGCTGAAGACTACAGCTACAGCTATGGCGCCCAGCGCCGAAGACTACAGCTAGCGCTAATACCTACTGCCTAGCGCTGAAGACTACTGCAGCGCTCCTCATGAGTGCTGCGGCCAAAATCCGGAAGACTACCACTGCCTACTGACACTACCTACCCGTGAAGTGCATGGGAACCTCCTACGTACTGCGGGTGTGCCTCTTGAGCCTGCAGAAGGGAGGCAGGGGCTGCAGCTGCAGCTCCTGCTCGAGCACGTGAGGAACAGGCTATTTTGGGCCTGTTCCGCATCCCTGTTTCCGTGCCTGAGTCTTAGGGGCAGGTCGAAACAATGAGGGCCTGAAAATAGCCCTCCGTTTCAGGCTGAAAACTCTGGGTCTGAAAAGACCCAGAAATAGGCTGAAACGAGGTAGGGCCTGCAGGCCCTCGTTTTTCAGCATCCAGGCTGAAACGAACGGGGCCTGTAAGCCCTAAATTTTAGGCTTTTAGGCTGAATGTCCGGGACGGGCCCTGCAGGGCCCGTGTGGCTACGCAGTATGCCACATGAGCATTCTCCAGAGAGTGGTCTCCCCGTGGTGCATTCCTGTCTGAATAGTGCAATACACAGATCCCAAGAGATCGCCGATGTGAGGAGTAGGACTTGGCACAAGCAATGCTATCATCAAACAAGCAATGCACATCAAGGAATTAGAATGTAATCCAATGTGGCACAGCAGAAGACTCAAAGGCATGACCTGACTCATCGGACTCAGTCTCGACTCACTCTGATATCATCACACATGTCAAATCAGCAAAAAGGGCAGGCATGCATGGAACAAAGATCCCTCCTTGCACACACACATGGGGAGATCACCATGGATGAGGGAAGTAGGGAGGAGACAAAGAGGAGGAAGGGGAGAAAGACAAGAGAAAAGTCGTCCAAAAATGGTCTCCCCCACCAAATGTCCAATAAATGCTCTCTCGTAAAATGTCAAATCAGCTCCAGGGCACTCCAGGCCTAAATAGTCCCTGCCTTCTCTCTCTCTCTCTCTCTCTCTCTCTCTCTCTCTCTCTCTCTCTCTCTCTCTCTCTCTCTCTCTCTCTCTCTCTCTCTCTTACTCTCTCTCTCTGAGACTCTCTCTCTCTCTCTCTCTCTCTCTCACACACACACACACACACACACACACACACACACACACACACACACACAATAATAACCAAAAGAAGAAGAAGTGGATGGGGAGAATAGTGACTATTGAGGGTCAGAGGAGAACGAAGGAGCCGAGGCAGAAGAAGAAGAAGAGCTCCCCTCTCTCTCTCTCTCTCTCTCACTTGCGAATACTGACTGGTAACGATGGTGGCTCCTCTGATGCCTGTCGCTCGCATGAAGGCCCAGCTATGGCACCCAGGTAAGTCTCCACTCATCTCCTCTTGCGGTTAGGCCCACCAGCCTCCTCAGTCCGACTATCTCCTCCTACTCTAATGCTACTCTACACAACTGAACTCCAAGCAGTGGTGTTCTCCAGCAGCATGTTGCTCGATTGCAGCGCTCCACATGAATATCCGCACCAGGACGACTGGCCGAGTTATATACCGCTAGGCCTGACTGGATGCCCAACGATCTGCGATCAGGGCCACCGAATCTAATGTCCGATCGGCGGTCCTGATTGCAGGCCCAAGTCCTAGTCCTGCAGTCCTTGTCTAAAACGGCCTGCCTGGGTCCCTACTGGACAGCAACGTACTGAGGACTGGGCCAGCAAAAACAGACCAATCCCTGGTCCAGTCCCATTTGTGGATAAATCCGAACCTGGCCTACTACGGCCAAAGCTGAAGTCCACTGGTCCGAACAGGCACCTGCCTGTTCGGACAAAATGAAGAGTCTGAAACAGCACATCTGAGGCAGACAAAAATAGGACAGACAAACTCAGCCCCAAACCTTTTTGTTTTTCTTTTTTTTCCCCTAAGCTGCCTTCTCCTCATCGGGGGACAGCCATATATTCCCCAAACCTTTCTTTTTTTTTTTTTTTTTTTTTTTTTTTTAAGATGCCTTCTCCTCATCGGGGGAAAGCCATATATTCCCCAAACCTTTTTTTTTTTTTTTTTTTTTTTTTTCAAGATGCCTTCTCCTCATTGGGGGACAGCCATATATTTTTCTCTCACCTCACGTACTTTTAACTGGCGTTTTGCCATGTCATGGAACATATCTTTCTTTCAATACCTACCTACCACTACTCCTAAGGGTATACAGGGGACCCCTGCAAGCAGAGCTTTTTACCTCTCTCAGTGGAGAGAGGTAACGGCATGTTTGCCCCTTTGCCCTAGCGTTTAAGGTGCAAGGTTGGGGCCGCTGGTGACACAAGGACCGAGCATTTGCCAGTAACTGTGCATCCCTTTTCATCTTCCCCACCCCCATCGAGTAACAGTAGTGTCTGAAGCCAACACTCTCCCACACACAACACGCAACCCACTCACACGCGCAGTCACACCCGTGTTGGCTGAAGACCTTACTGATACCAACTGGGAGGATCCAGCTGACTATCTCAGTTGGTTGGCACCAAGAGTGCGACAGGCGGCCATGGGGATTGCACCCACAACCTCCTGAATGCCACTTGAGTGCCTAACCAATTGAACTAGGCCGCTGGATTCTCAGCCCCAGACTCAATCAGCAAAAATAAATAAATAAATAAATAAATGCTGAAAAAAAGAAAAGCGAATGGGACTAAAAATAAGAGCCTAGGCCTAAAACGTGGCTGTGGCCCACCAAGTCGCCCAGCCAAAGGAGCTGCGCCGCGTGGGGCCGAGGAGAGAAATGTGAGGCCTGAAGGGCATGTGTAGGAGCGCCTAGGATGCTACACCCCACCTTCAATGCCTCCGATCTATTAATGGGAAACAGCGCTTGCTGGAAATCGGGTCCAGCGTCCACACAGACTGCCTGCCTGCCTCCTTAAC